TAGGTTTTGGATTTTGAATGCCCTACCTTTGCAGACAATATAATAAGTGTGTGGCACTAAACACAAAGTATGAGTGATTGATTACTAGATTAATTATGTGTCACAAGTAATGAAGGGCCGTACTAAAAAAGTGACCACCACTCGTGTGATAAAACAAATTGGTTTTGGTAATATTTAGGTAATTAGGACAATCACACACTTGGTGCCTTCTTTCTTTATTCATATCTCATTAATAATTAACTCCTTTAACTAATTTCAAGGATTAGCTTTTTGTCTCCCTTTCCTTTTTCTTTTACTACTACTAGTGATTAGTAGTAACCTTAATCCTAATGATTAGGCTAACACCTTTCAATAAAAGCAGTTCGAAAGACTCAAATTTGAGATATTTGATTAAAGATGAACCACTCAAGTTTGATAAGATCTTTTAGAGCATGTATTTGGTCATGGTACGATTTGATTCTTTTTTTGGTAGAACTAAGTTATACATGTACTCCCTCGTCCCATTTTATCTGTTATTTTTTTACTTTACACTTGCATTAATAAATGATGTAACTTTACCCTTCTACCCTTATTTAATTTTTTTGGAACTCAAGTTTTCAATCAATGAATATGAATTAATTAATTTTGATTAATTAATTTAACCAATGAACATGAATCATTTATTAACTTTTCTAAGTTGGTCAAATGTATGATTTCAATGCTAATAACTCACAAGGGTAAAAAAGGAACAATATGCTAATTTATACATTGATTTTATGAAATGACAAGTATTATGGTCCAGCTATTTATAGAAAGGGATGACATATAAAATGAGACGGAGGGAGTATTAGTTATGCACCCTATTCAGTATTATAAGGTGTATACTTAATACTCCCTCCGTCCCATTTTATGTCACCTTTTTACTTTGCACTTGCATTAAGAAATAATATAATTTTACCCTTCTATCCTTATTTAATGTTTTCTTAAGACAACTTTATTAATAAATGACAAGATTAATTAACTATTCTATCAAGGGTATAATAGATAAAATATGGTAATTTATGCATAATTTTTATAAATTGACAAAGTATTGTGGCCCAACTATTTATAAAAAGGGATGACATATAAAATGGAACGGAGGGAGTATATAACAAACCATAATAATAGCAATGCAAGGTCTAATAATACATGGATAAAATATAAGTAAAGACAAAACCACCCTTAATACATCAAATCAAACAATGGATAGGTCACTCATTCGACCTATGAAGTCGACTATTGATGCTTGTGTTAGGATAAACTGTCTTATTTCATTACCAACAATGCTGCCATTCTTGGCTTCATTTTTGGCTGAGGAAAGAAGATTATAGATAAAAGATTATTACTAACAAACATCCAGTAGAAAGAGTTAAGCTACTAAGCTAAGCTGTTGTTGGGGAACTTAGTCGGAAGCCTATCGACATCTTCCTTTCTAAGAGAAACTCAGGGAGAAACATAGTCACAGATTGTAACTTGGGAATATGATACAAGAACATTCTGATCGACTCAATTGGCTCTCGATGTGTTCTTACCTTGTAAACAACAAAACAGAGGTTTCCGGTCAACAAAGCAGGGCTAGATAGATACCAGTGAGGATTCATATAGCCGACCCCAACTTGTTTAGGACGTAGTCATAGTTGTTGTAACTAAGGTTGCATTCAGATCCCATTTCTAGAACATAAGAAACTCAAACAGCAGTAATCATTTATCAGAATCAGATCTCCTCTTTCAAAAAGATTGCATGAAGCATAACTCTCTTTTCGATTATTATACGAATACAATGTACAAAGGTCCAACCGCATAGCAACTTTGATACTCAATATAAAGCTGTACATTATATAGCAAATCCCACTAGGAGTATAACTGGAAAAGCGGTTCACATATGGGTTGTTAGGGCCTTCATTCCTAATTCACAGAGTCTGATCGAGATAATGACCACAAAGAGTAACCACAACTGTCAAAGTAACGTTTACCTAATCTCTGTCTGCAGATTCTCTCCCTCCATCGTCGTCTCCAGTACCACTTGAGGATATGTTCCCCACTTGACCATCTCTTAGATCGTCTCGAGGTGAGTTGGTCTCTGAGGAATCTTCTTCCAGGGGCCGCAGCTCAAGGGACCTTGGCTCTCCGTATTCAAGTTGTAAATCGGAGTCGTCCCCTTCTAATCGTTCAGGTTGAAGCCTCAGTACAACATTTCTCACTTGAAGTGCCTGTATTAACTCAAATTGGTGTTCTGGAGTGTGTTGCTGATTAAATCTGCCCGGGAGCTTTGAGGAGCTTTTATAACATCCTTCACAAAGGTCAAAGCCTATTTTCTCCTTGCAGTCTTTGCATTTGTATCGTTCCCCAACAATAGGACACATCTGCAGATTTCAAAGTCAGTTATATCTAGTTTGCAAAAAGGAACTTCACTTGCTATTAGACTCCCTTCATAGAAATACTGTAAACTTTTAGGCTTCTAAAGCCAATTTCTAAAAAGGGACACACCAGGGGACTACCCTTGTAATTCATATAGTACTGTGTGTGATTTTCAACTGGAAACTTCCAACTCAAACCATATAACTGAAACTCCGACTTTTTCTACTATCGAAGAAACTAATATCAAGGTGGTTTAATGTAGGCTAGTCATCATTTTAATATTGATGAACTTGCACAAACTTCTCGAAAAATTAGAAAGTTCACATCTTTAACTCGATACCTTCTTGGTTTTTAGTTATTTCTTACCATTAGTTTTAGACAAGTTCAGACTTAAATCTAAGAAGAATTGATTTCCTGCCACTACAGCATATGTCGTGACACATCATTTTCATAAAAAAACCTACACAAAATAGCATGTTATGTAGAGCAAGAAACTTCATATTCTCATTTTATTTTTGACACACTTCACATTCCTATCTTTCAGATCCTGTCAAAGAATACCCACAACCAAGTCATCTGTTTTGATTGAATGAAAAGATGATGAGCAAAGCAAGATTAAAAGTGGGGAATACATCTTCTTTCTTTGTTTATGTTTATTCAACAACAGAAGGCAATAGTGGCTGAAGATGGTCTAAAAAAAGAATGGAATCCGACTTTTACAAGATTCCTAAATGATTGAGACATGGGGAGGATACTGAGTTTAAGGGTACCAAGGGAAATGGACGTTATGGTATGACTGGGAAAGAATCAAGCAACTTTTAAGGTGAAAGAGGCTTACAAGATTCTGAGAAAAGTTAATAATCAAGTGGGCTGTTGGCCATGGAAAATGATGACGAAAAGTGAAGATCCATTAAAGTTGCTTGCTCTCTTGGCTTGTGGCCGAAGAAGCACTGTTGACACAGGATAAGCTGAGAAGGATCTAACTTATGCTCTGGATGTTATTTATGCGGGGAAGAGGCAGAGACAACGAATCATCTCTTTTTACGCTGCAAATGGACAGATCAGAACTGGAAAATATTCATTAACCTGAGGGGAATCAGGAGGGTGATGCCAAGAAACCCAACGGAGGTACTAGACAGTTGGGGCAGAGAAGGGTCTTTGTCCAAACAAAAGGAGAGATGGAGGGTTGTATGGAGAGAGAAATCAGAGGTGTTTAGAGGATAAGCTGTGCAACATTCAGAAGCTGAAGATGAATTGCTTAGCTCTTCACTATTTTTGGTGTAAACAGAAATGTTTAGTACAAACTGAAGATATCTTTGATGTCCTAGAGAATATTTAAGAAGAAACAAAGGAAGCTATTTTGTAATTGTCTGACTTGGGGGACTATACAGTTGGTATAGTATACTTGTTAATATACAGAATGTTACCATTATCAAAAAAATAATAATCTTCTAACGCAGTTTAAATGCTGAAAATAATCATTACTACTGTAGAAAATTAATGCCTCTTCTGATACAACCATTCAGTAACTACAAGAAACAACGTGCTCTATATATTGGCCTCTCAATTTTATAGCATTTGAAACAAGTTCAAGGTAGCACCAGAGAAAACAATTAACTTTAAGGTTTAAGCTGCAAAATCAACAAAATAGTCTGAAACAATCCAGCAGCCTCTTGTAGGCCCTATGGACTTGTTCCTGTAAAGAGATAGAAGTACACACAAGTAGGGCAACTGGGAGACAAATGAGAAGAGCAATCAATCTTACCCCACAATAATCACAACCGACTCCAAAATGAACCTGTGGTCCTCCACCCGTAAACCATGCTGAAAGATCAAATCCAGGTACTGATTTGCAGCCAGCAGCTTCGTGCCGATTTCCTGTCATACCAGATAGGATCTTGTGATAGAAGGCCAGTGAAAGCTGAATCAAGCCAATATGACGAACAGTTCTAATTCCCAAGGATACTGCCAAATGCTTCATTTCACAGTTTTAGCATCCGATGCTTCTTAAATTGGTTAACAAAATAAGTGTGCTCTAACATATCTCCCCCCACCCCACCCCTCACAAGAAAACTGGTGGTGCATGTACCTAGTACGACCAACAAGAGAAGGATTTCTCTCCACCAGACTCCATCACAGAATTCCTTTGCTACACTAATAACAATAAAATCTTTGACTAGGTGAGTCACCATTATAACATAAAGGGCAGCCGTGCACTCAATATTCTTAAAATCTTCTTTCAAGCTTCCGCCTTTATCTGCTCTGACCCCTTACTCTTGCTTTCCCATATTTCAAACATACAACAGAAAATGCCGAATGCATTGGACATGCTCTCAAGTTAAATGATTGTTAATCACAATAATCCAAGGGAAACTTGGTGTTTATATAGCTTGTAATTCCTACATTCTGATCTCTTTAGTTGGCTGGAATGTATTCACTACAAGAAAGGAACAATTAAGGGTACAACTAAATGCTCGTTAATAATGAAATTGAAGCTTAATGGACGAAAATTCCCAAGTGTACATCTCTATTTTAAAATGAAAAATGATCAGAGGAGAATACCTTATCAGATATACTCAAATCTCAAACTAGTTGGTATAGGCAATATGAATCTTGTATATTTTCTGCTCTATTCAGACCTTTTTCATTCCAATATTGCTAAACAATTTGCCTTAAAAGATTTAGGGGCTCTCTAAAATTAGAGGCTTTCCAATTCTCACACTTAAGCGTACCAACAACAACTAAGGTTTACTTCATAAAAAGAAAAAAAAGCCTAAGTTAATCCAAATTAGTTGATACAGTCTATGGATTCTTACAACAACAACTTACAGAGTGATCCTCAAAGAGAGGTCAGGGGAGGGTCGTGTGTACGTAGCCTTTACCCCTACCTTGAGAAGGTAAAGAGGTTGTTTTGATAGACCCTTGGCTCAACTCTCAAGTAAAACATATCAAAAATCCAATGCAAAAAGAAGATAACAAATTGACACCACTTAGTCCAGTATAGTGAATTAGCATTAGCTACTTAAAGAAGTCAAATGCCTCAAGGTGGCCATCCTGAAAGATCTGGAATGAACTGAATCAAATCTGCACTCGTAAATAATGCCGAGTTACAAAAATGCACAAGAGATTACAGCCTCTGAATTTTCAATATCATTGAAACTTGAGATGGATTGTATGTGGATTATGTATTTACATAAAAGATGAGCATAAAATTGTGCATGTGTCAAATCAATATCATATTACGATATTTAAGATAAAATGGTGTGGAGACACTATTGGTATGGTTTATATACGGAGAAGGAAGTATCAACATACGTTTTGATGGAATCTGACAATCAGATCTTTCCACTGATGCCCTTTTCCTTTCGGCATACAACTCGGGAAATTGCTCCTCCAGGTAGTGCTCAAGAATCAAACAAATGTTGGGGTATCCATTTGGATGCTCCAGTTGGCAAACTGGACATCTACAGAGCTTGTCGCTAGGATTGATCACACAATTTTCACAATAAACTAACAAAAGGAAAAGCAGCATAATAAGAGAAGGAAAATGGAAACTTAAAGCCATCAACATAATAGTTGGAGGAAGTTGAACTGACCATGGCCACAATTAAGAACTACAGGTTTGCTTAACAATAGCTCGCAGATGCCACAAAGCAAATCTGTCATAAGCACCTGCTTTTCACTTGCACTGGTATGTTCATCTGCAAAGTTAAGATTCTTTGATATTGCGTCCTTATTGATTTCGGAACTCGATGTTGCAGGAACAACTGTATCTAATGAAACATCTATGGAGGAATGATCTCCTTCTCCCGCTGAACCACATTTCTGCGACGAGACAGAATGAGGTGAAGCAGTGTCCGGAACAAGATCTGTCTTGCAACGGGATTCTGATAAATCATCATCAAACTCAGGTGAGCAAGAACCTACTTCCTTCTCCTCCTCTGCAATAAGGAGAAAGAAAGACATCAGTAAACTTTAGAGTTGGAATCTTAAACACTTCCAGGGATAAGAAAAGATCACCAGATAATCATACTACCTCCAAAAGCACAATTCCTAGTACAAAGAGTCAAGCATCAAGCTCTCAGGTTGAGAGTGGACGTCTACTCATTGACTTTTTAGGGGAAAAACTAGTATGCACAGAATTTACATAAGAAAATACAGAAAAAGGTGTCTGACCCTGCACTAGTAACTTTGACATATCAAATGGGAGAGAGGGAACTTTGCCAAATGTAGAAAAGTTGAAAAATCTAAATTAGATTGTTTTCATCCTCACAAGTGGCCAACAATGAATCAATTATGGACTTGATAGTAAATGCATGTATGTTGCTTCTACCATATACAACAACAACAACAAACCCAGTATAATCACATCCCACAGGTGAGGTTTGGGGAGGGTAGTGCGTACGCAGACCTTACCTATACTTTGTAATGGTAGGGAGATTGCTTTCGATAAACCATCTGCTCAAATAGAGATGAAAAAGAAGCAGTAATCACAGACAGTAACAACATCAAATGTACTAAGATAAATGAAGCGAAGGAAACAATCAGATAATACTAAAGATCTAAGGATAAGCAACTTAAAAAACAATACTAATACTCCTAATACGGAAAATAAATTCACTCACCAACCTACTAACTCTCTAACCTAATACATGACATCCACATCCTCCTATCAAAGGTTATGTCCACAGTAAGCTAAAGTTGTGTCAAGTTCTGCCTAATCACCTCCCCCAATACTTCTTTAGTCTACCTCTGCCTCTCCTCAGGCACCTCTCACACCTCCTCGTTAAGATATTCTATGTATTTCCTCTACACATGCCTGAACCATTTCAGTCTTTCTTCCCGCATCTTATCCACCACGGCGGCCACTCCCACCTTGTTCTCAATATCTTCATTCCTAATTTTGTCTCTCCTAATATGTTCGCACATCCTTTTCAACATACTCATTTCTTCTACTTCTATCTTTTGGATGGGCATTCTTGACTGACCAACTCTTTACCCCATACAACATTATCGGTCTAACCACCACACTATAAAACTTACTTTTCAATCTTGGTAGCACATTCTTATCACACAAAATACTAGAACTGAGCCTCCATTTCATCCATCCCACTCCAATACGACATGTGTCATCATCATCAATATCTCCATTTCCTTGGATTACTACCCCAAGTACTTAAAACTTCCTCTCTTAGGGGCTTCTACCATATACAATGTCAACAATTATATCAAATGTACCCAAATCCTCGCTCTACCCCCTCATGTAAACAAAGCTCAAAACTTTCTAAAATCATAAAACAACCAATGTATTAATTTTACGAGTTCAACAAAAGCCGAAGATGATTAACTCATAGCCATTGGGAAATTCATCAAACAAACAAGAAGACAATTCACTATGATTAATGTTTCCTTAATATTTCACACATCGCACAGGTTTAATACTAGTGTAAACAAAGCTCAAAACTTTCAAATATCATAAAACAGTAAATGTATTAATCTTATGAGTTCAACAAAAACCAAAAATGATTAACTCATAATTGGGATTCAGTAGAGACTCACCGGCAACTTGTTTTACCCTTCTTGCACTGGCTAAAGGGTACAACTTTAGAAGCAAAGAGTGAATCAATCTACAAAAACTAGGAAAATGATGATATGGGTGTCGACAAATGGGACAGTTTGATTCCCTCCAAGTATTCATAGCTTTGAATATACACCAGAAACAAGCAATGTGGCCACACCCTACAACCAAGAAAATCAATCAATCAATCAGAAACCATTAAAATCAAAGTAACAAATCAATTCATCATACACTTACCTAGCACAACTGGTTTATACAAAAGTTCCCTACAAACAAACAAACAAACCAAAAAATCAATACACAAAAGAAATCAATTAACATATATACAAGACAATTCAAGAAATCATTTCAAAGTGATTTTTTTTTCAAAAAAAATGAATTCTTGATTGGATTACAGGCAAACACAGCACTGAAATTCATCTGGGATTTCCTCAATTTGAATATCTTCATGATCTTCATGGCCATTTTCCATCTTGAAGGATCAAGTTTTATGGAATATGTTCGTTAGAGCTATCTGGAATGTGAAATGAGAGGGGTTTTGATTTACAGAGGATGAAATGGGCTTTTGGCCCATGAGAAATGGACCTTGGGAGATAATGGGCTTTTACTTCTTTGACTTTAGTGATGGTTTGATAATATCCGAGGATTAAGTTTGAGACAAAATTTATACGGCTAACTTTATCTCAGGATAAGTTTATAATGTCAACCAAATGTGCAGTATAAATTCTGTTCAGACTTAATCTTGGGATATTCCATTTTATCCCATTTAACTTGAAATTATTTTATTCCATCAGTCCAGGGATTATAATTTCATAATCGTTTAGTCTGCATACCAAATGCCCCTTAGAGTAACTCATAGATAGTATAAATCCCAAATAGCCATTTTTTTCAGTTTCTATAATAGAAAAATAACAATTTTCATGAAGTTTCTAATTTCACGGATGAAACTTGCCTGGTATTATCATGGACATCACTTGTAAATTTGTGAAATTCCATAATAATAACTATTTTTCATTAACAATGTCATGATTATTATCATGGAGCTAATTTTACATGATTAATACTATAAGAATAGGTTGGTTGAGCAATTTAGAATAAAACAAGAAGGTTTTGACATACAAGGTTATATTGGCTTATTTCGAGGATCTTTCGAAACAATCTCTCTACCTTCACGAAGTAGTGATAGGTCTGCATATACTCTATCCTCTTTAGACCCCACTTGTAAGATTTCACTTGTATGTTGTTGTTTGTTCGTTATATTGGCCTATGAGAGTGGTCCTTAAAAGGAAATGGGCTTTTGGCCCAGAAAGAAGTTAGCATTGGAATGAGATGAGCTCTGGGCTAATGAGAAATGGATCATGGAAAATAATGGGCTTTTATCTTACAACACTATGAGTTTGTTGTTTCCCACAAGTCAAAAAATAAAGGGGAAAATAAGCAAATACCCCATAATAGCAAAATAATTACAAACACATACCCCTTTACATTCATACCCCACTAAATAATTACACTATATACCCCATTTACTAATTTCGCTTAACTGATACTAAATCAGTATCATATATATTGTATTGGAATCATTAAGGCTAATAATTTCGTTGAAGTGATACTAAATCAATATATATATACTATATTGGTATCATTAAGGTTTGTTGTTAAGAAATTACCCATTAGTAAATGATACTATAAGAGTATATATATACTCTTATAGTATCATTTACTAATGGGTAATTTCTTAACAACAAACCTTAATGATACCAATATAGTATATATATATTGATTTAGTATCACTTCAACGAAATTATTAGCCTTAATGATTCCAATACAATATATATGATACTGATTTAGTATCAGTTAAGCGAAATTAGTAAATGGGGTATATAGTGTAATTATTTAGTGGGGTATGAATGTAAAGGGGTATGTGTTTGTAATTATTTTGCTATTATGGGGTATTTGCTTATTTTCCCCTTTATTTTTTGACTTGTGGGAAACAACAAACTCATAGTGTTGTAAGATAAAAGCCCATTATTTTCCATGATCCATTTCTTTCAGAAATTACTTTGAATTTGGGTATGAACTTGTAATTATTTTAGACTTTATGACC